AGGAATCTCTTTTAAAAACTTATCTCGAAACCTGAAAAAGTGGTTAATCATGGGATATATTTTTCTGATTTGTTCCTCTGTTTTCTTTTTGAGATAAGTCAAATACCATAAAATATTTATGTTGCTATATATTTTCTACACAAAAAAATAATTTATAAAAGCGATATAGTTTTATATGATGGTATCTGCAACAATGACTACATCTAATTTAGATGAAAAATTTATAGGAAATAAAATACCGAAAGGATTAGATTGTTAGCTATTGAATGTGTGTTATGAGAACAGAAATGAATTGTGATGTCAGCCTTGTTCACCTTAGGTACAAAATTCCTACAGGCATAAATCTCATAAACATTGCTATGAGATTTGACTAGACTAGAAAATTACTAGAAAGACTAGAAAATTAGATTATAATCTGATCGAGAGGAAACCCTAGGTTCCATCCCTTTTATGCATACAGCATAGTATCCAATGCAAACCTTCAGATTCAAATATATTTTTTATTTGAGCATCTAGTTTATTCTAAGAGCTTAACATGCATGAATATTTAATCCTCATAAAAGTTCTCAAAGTAGAAAATATAGATGAGAATCCAGGGGCTCAGAGATTTTTAGATTAATAACTAAAAATGATAGAGTTGCTATTTGAAACAAAGTCTCAGACTCCAGAGCTGGTGTTCTTTCTGGGACACTGCATTGCCTCTCAGGTTTTCTTCCTGCTCTAGGATTATCTCCCTCCATTTTACCTGTCTTTTTCAGTGATGCTATTTTGGCGAATGATACAAATGTAAACCAGTCACATTCCCTGGGAGTTAGGCTAGTAACTTACCAACTTAATATTTTCCATATCCAGCTGGTTGCCACATCTTGCTGCTTCTGTCACCTACATATCTCTTGCATCTGTCTGCATTTCTCCATCTCTTATCCTCAGGTCAGGTTCTCGTCTTTTCTTACTTGGGTAATTGGAATAACCTAATTGGGCTCCTAGCCTCTAGTTTCACTTTCCTCCAAACCATCCTGCGCATCAATGGACAGATCGGTGTTTTGAAAATACAAATCAAAACAGAATACTTAAAACATTAATACTTTTTCCTGGAATACAGAATAAAATCATAGCTATGTGCTATGTACAAGTACTTCCATCGGCTGTTTTCCCCAACTTCTCTCCTGTTAGTCCCGCCCTCCCCTAACTATGCGCATGAGTGACAGCTCCCTGCAGAACTTGCCTTGCTGTTTTCATCCCCTGTACCTTTGGTAAAATAATCTTTATTATGTTAGATTGCATATTATTAGCAAAAACTTCTACGTTGCATTTTCTTTTGAAAAGGATTTTCTTTTTTTTTTTTTTTTAAAAAAAAGCACCTGGTCTTCCTAGGTGGTCTCCCATCCAAGTACTACCCAGGCCCGACGCTGCTTAGCTTCCGAGATCAGAGGAGATTGGGCACATTCAGGGTGGCATGGCCATAGATGGGGATTTCTTTTTTAAAAAGCAATTTTAGTTTCCATAGCATGTTGTGTGTGTGTGTGTGTGTGTGTGTGTGTGTGTGTGTGTGTGTAGCATTTTCATCACAGCTTAAATTAGCATGTGGAGGATAACAAAAACCACTCTAGACCTGGATCTGTGCTTTCTAATAGTGTAACCACTAAGCCACTCGTGGCTATTGAGCTCTTGCTATGTGCTACTGTGATGGAGTAACTGAATGTCTACTTTTAGTGCTTAATTTTAATAAGCTTAAATTTAAGACTGATACTCGATTCAGTTACTGGAAAACTTAAGCATAGATGAAAAATTTCTGATGAAATTTTAGAGTGTGAAATGTTATATACTGTAAATGTAAAATATACATTGGATTTTGAAGACAGTGTAAAAAAGTAAAATTTCTCAATATGTTATGTTGATTATGTTGCAATTATAATATTGTATTAAAATTAATTTCACCTATTTTTTAATGTGACTAGTAGAACATTTAAAATTAAATATATGGAATGCATTATATTTCCATTACATACCACTAATCTAGCCAATCTTAAAATGCTCAAAAAATCCAAAATATTTAAAGTTTTTGTACAGAAAACAGGCTAAATTTACATATGCTAAAAACTTGTGTTTAGTCAGTTCATATTACAATGCAGAATATTTTTAAATAATGAAAAAATTTTTTTTCCTGCTTATTTTTCTCCAGTAGTGATGAATTTCCTTGAGATTAGAATGTTCTATATTAAATGTGACTGTTTTTCCAAAACCTTTCAAATGAAACACGTATTAAACATATATATACTTTGTATGAAATGCATACACATCCTCACCAAAAGGCATGTATGAGGATATTTATAGCAGATTCGTTTGTAATTGTGAAAAACGAAACAACTCAAATGTCTAATAGTAAAATAGATAAGCTGTGCCGTACCTCTACAGCAGAATACTATACAGCAATGAGAGAGCATGAACTTCTGGACAGGAAATACGCAGATGCGGAGCAAAAGAAGTGAGCAAACAAAGAAAGACACCATATGTCACAAGCTCAAAAACAGGCAAATTAAGCAAGAGTATTAAAAGTTAAGGGTATGGGTAATGTTTTATTTTTCGATCTGAGCATCAGTTACACATCTTTGAAAATGCATTGAACTCTGCCCTTAATTTGTGTATTATCCTGTGTATTGATTTTACCAAAACTTTAAAAGTAAGAATAAAGCTATATGTTTCATTTTTATTTATTTTATTTTAACAGAATAGTCATTATACAGTGTTAAGCACTGCTTTTCCAATTGTACTAAGCATCGATTACCTGAAGAACTTGACAAAACACAATTTCTGACCACTCCTTACAGAATCTGAGCTGGTAGGTCTGGTTTTGTGTTTCTCACACGTTTCCAAGTGATGCTATTGCTTCTGGCCTGCAGATCTCTTTCAGTACTGTTGAGGGAAGATAAATTCAGGAAATACTATTCATTTTTAGATTGCTGTGGATAAAATACATGAGCTAAAAAAAATAGTTATTTCTTAATGTTATATAATGGTTTTATTGTTCATTTTAAATGACAGTATGTATTTTTAAATGTCTTAGTACCAATTTCTAATATGCTCAATATTGTTAGTATTAAAAAAAAAGGTCTCCAAAGTCCTCAATATATTTTTAAGAATGTACAGAGGTCTTGAAACAAAAAGTTTGAAGACAAAGTGAATATTTATAGAACTCTGTATTCAATAAACAGGAATGCATACTCTTCTCTAGTACACATAGAAAAGGCAAAAGAAAATCAGGTACCTAGCATATCTTAAAGTAAGTCTCAACAGATTGAAAAAACTGTAGTGTTATCAATATATTCTCTAATCACAACTCAATTAGATTATAAATCTATAACAGAAGATAAACATATGACCCAAATCAAGAAATATAAAAAAAATTATAGATACCATCTTTGTAAAAAATAAAAGTAAATTGAAACTAAAATATACATAGAACTAAATAAAAAATATGCCTACTACAGTTGTAGGATGCAGCAAAATCTCTTCATTTAGAAATTTATACACATAAATGTTTTTATTTTAGAATAAAAAAATGAATATTAGAGTTTAGTGAACTAAACTCTACCCTGACGAAGAGAAATAACAACAGAAGAAAGGAAGGCATGAAAGATAAATGAGGCCATTCATTTTGTTTTATTTTATTTTGCCAGAAACTGTTTCATGCACTGAAAATGCAGCATTGAACAAAATGGACCCTAGCACAGCTCGCTTCCTACTGGATTATAAGAGTTATCACTGATACAGCATATGTATAGTTAGGCCGTGCTCTAAATGCTTTACATAGATTAACTCATTTAGAGAGAGAATGAAACAAGATACAATAGAGAGATTCAAAGACATCCCGCAGTGTGTGTTTTCAACCAACCGGTAAAATGGACAAATCTCGTTACAGTGAATTCAGGAATGGAGTGAGAGCATGGACAGAGAATGAAGAAGTGAGAAAGCATCTGAAGCGTCCAAGAATCAGGGCCCCTTCCAAGAGGCAGGCTGAACCCTTCAGGCCCAGAGAAGGTACAGTTCCAGAGGAGCGGAAGCCGACGTGACGTTGGACCAGTTCAAGTAAGACAGCTCCTGCACCTACCCTGTTCTCCCCCTGTACATACCTGGAAAAGTAAAGCCCCAGTTAGCTACCTGGGGAAGGCAAAAAAGAGGTGGTAAATCAAGACCCCCTTTCTTACTTCAAGTTTCCAGCCTAAAACAGTCTCGAGGAGATAAAAGAGAAATTTTCAATAGTAAATCTCGTTCAGAATTTTGATTAATAGTAGGACTGGATATTTCCATTATTAGACTGTGTTTGCAACTTAAAGTTAGTTAGAACTATCATTCAAGTGGGATTGTTAGAATTTTCATACAGTGCTGGGGGAAAAAATCCCACTCTGAAAAATGTTTAACATGATGGGAGGATGATGAGTTATATTTTAATAATGTTAACGTAAGTGGTATTCAACATTATTTACATTAATAATATGAAGACCAAAAGAAAGACTTAAATGTAGACAACAGAGGTTAAAATGATAAATAACATCACCCATATATGAAAAATTAAACAAAATCAAAATGTTATGAAAATATAACTTACTAAGATTGGTTCAGGAACTAGAAAGACAATAATTGGATAGCCATTAAAGAAGCTGAATCATGCCTAGGGCAATACAAAATTACCCTAATTAAGGACATGTTAGATGTAGGTGTGTCGAATCAGAAGTTTGAAATTGTCTCATAGAGAACATGTGTTGCTATCCAACTTTTATGGAAAAAAAATGTATTACAAACTCTTCCAGAAAATAGAAAAATAGGAAGCACCCCTAGTTTATTCTACAAGGTTAGTATAAACTTTGTAAGAAATTGCACATGTGACAAAGGAATCATACAAGTCCATTCATTCATGAACAAAAGTAGAGAATTCCAAATAAAATGTTAACAGACCAGATACAGCAGTGCACCGCCCCCCCCCAAAAAAGATGCAATTGCATTTTTTTTTCCCAGAAAAGCAAGCATGGTTTAACATTAGGGGGAAAAAAGTGATGTAAATTTTCCACAGTAACATAACAGATGAAAAATATGTAATCATTTAAATAAATGTGATAAAAGAATCTGATACGTATTCACTCCCGATAACAGTAAATTAGGAATAGAAGGACAGTTCTTCAGGATGCTTTTCTGAACAGGCTGGTTTCCAGCAGTCTTGTAACTAGCCTGAGCTGTGTCACTAAGCTCAGATCCCAGTACCGGAAGCATGCTGGTTAACACTGCTGCTTCTGTAACTATGGATCCAAGAAGTTTTAGGGTGGTTTTTACCGACTCGTCAGCATTGTTTATTGGTAAGAGCGAGGCTGATGATTTGCAACTGGTCATAGGGAGACCTCCAGAGATCACTACTGTTGAGGCTGATTTTGTAGCAGGAATATGTAAAATATTAAAACAAACAAAGACACACACAGCGAGATTCCTGGACTTTCTAGTTCCAAGGTGTACTGTGTACATACAGGAAGGTGGTTCCTGATTCAGAACAGACAGTGCTTATAGCCATGAACTGTATGGAAGGTACAGGTAGGAGCCTGTACCAGGCCTCCCCAGGCCCCTTGCTGTGAGACAGCCTTTGACAGTGATCCAAATCCTACTGCAACACTGTTGTTATATGGTTTCCTTTCTCTCTAATAAATTATAGATTTGTATTGTTATTTGGGGTCCTAACAGTCTTTCTTCTTTAGCATTCAAACCCTGTCTTAGTACAGTTGACATTAGAGATGGGATTTCTTACAAGACTCTGACTCATTTTTGCTAAAAGTATGGCTTAGGCATTATTTAGAAAAAGGACAATTCTGATAAAGGGGATGGAAATGAACTATTGACGCAGGGGTGGTTGCCAAGCCGCAGTAAATGATTTAAAGTAGCACAGGCTTTGAAATCAGTTACTGATAAGACCTTCCATTGCAACCTAGAAATGAACGCCAGACACTAGCATAATAGAAGACAAGTGCAAACTGATGGCCGGCTGGCTAAATCAATTTTCTAGCTGCTGCTTTTAGTGTTAGCAAAAGTGAAAGTTCAGAATCTCCTTGAGTTGAACCTTATCCTCTCCGGCTGGCTCATGGAGCTCTAACTGAAGGAGCCTGGGCATGCTTAACTTCTGATGCGTAGCCAAGCCCATGAGACACACTACAATAAGGTCATTCAAGTGAGACAGTTGATGACAGGGCAGAAATCAGTAAGGGATTATTCAGTGATGAAACAGTCCTTTTGTAGATTGTCACAAGCAGTTCCTGATGACCTCTGTTAAAATGGCATCTGAGAATTAGATCAGGTAGCAGTGTCTCTGGCTTTGAACACTGTTGAGTTAAGGGAGATGTTCGCACTCATTGAGGGTGTTCCCTTGGCTGCTGTCTTTGTGGAGATAGGTCAAGGAGAAGTCCTTGCTGCCTGGAATGGATTACAACAGGGGACGTTCACATTAGAGAAGGGTAATTGGTCTGCCCGTCCCTTGTCATTTAAATGTCAGTATCTACTGAAGCTGCAGAAATGCTGCTGATGCAGACAGTGCTGGACTGGCTGCATGATAATGAAATGAGCTCCCCGTGGGGTCCCCCTCACCCAGGTTTTGATAAGAGGTGCCCCACCACCACGCACACTATATGCGATACCGCTCGTAGGACCTCAAAAGGTGTAAAAGAGGCAGTTTTGGATCTTTTATCTCAGTTTCCTCCTATGAGACTTCACATAATACAGAGGTTTGGATTTTACAAAAGAAAGGAAATCAAAACAAGAAAAAGGCAAGAATTCAGGACCTAGTAGTTTGGAAATCTTCAGAAGGCTAGTTTAAAATGGCATTAAAAAGGAAAATGGCAGAGTGCCCACCAAAACCTTGATAGAATGTGAGAGGAAGCCAAGGAAACACACTGCCTCTCAAACTTCCCAAGGTCTAAAAAATACCAAAGCAGATACGCTGTCTTGTCCAAGATTAGAGGAATTTCAGATAGAGTAAGACTCTCATGAGCCCACGCATTGAGTTCCAAAATGCCCACTTTTAAAACCGAGGCAAGATAGCAGTTTTCTTTTACTGTAGCTTAAAACAACAGAAATCTGTTATTTTACATCTTTAGAATTCTGCCAACCACACGTGGCCAGGGAGGAACAGTGTGACATGAAGGGCAGGATCTCCTGACCAAATCCCCGTGGGAGAACCCAGGCCTTTTTATGAATGTGTGGGTGGAATGGCCTGCAGATTTTAGGTCACCCAGACACAGGAGCGCTGCCTAGGCCTGCTAATGAGCCCATTAGGGGTGATAGAATTAATTTAGGGGAACCAGGAGATATCACTGTAAAAAGAATAAAAATTAAAGTCTCCTTAAAAGTTGAAATATATGATTTAAAAAGATACCACGGGGATGTCTCCTTTTACCTGAATGTATAATTAGTATGGTTGTAATGATTGGTTAAAAATTCCCCACTCTGCTGAGAAAAAAAAAACTTGTAGATCTGCCCTATACCCAGTCCTAATTGGGTATGAGTGATGGGAGCTGTTGGAGTACCTAAGCTGACTGGAACAGTTAATCTAAGACACTGTCATATGCTTAGGGCAATACAAAATTACCGCCCTAATTAAGGACATCTTAGGTGTAGGTGTGTTGGGGCCACATACTCAACAATGACCTGCTGATGCCCTTGAGGAAGATGGATAGGTCGTGGAGGCTGACCCTGTGGTGTAGTGGACCCCATTTCATAGTAACTCTAATGCTTGTCCAGATTGTTCAGCTGCTAAACAGAATATTTCAACAGGCGAAAGGTGACTGGGATTCTGTGGTTGACCTAGCCAATGATTTTTTTTCAATAAGTATTGCCAAGGAGAGTCAGCAGCAACGTGCATTCAAGTGGAATGGTTCTCAGGATGCATCTACCTCAAGGATAAATGAACTCTCCTGTGTATTGTCTCAATTTACTGAGATATATCTAGTACCATACAGCTGTACAGGGTTCTAGTACATGCTCCTGGTGACGTTATGATTATTTCTAAAACTGAGAATGAAGCTAAAAGCAACTTTACGATGATCATAAATCATAACGATCCAGGATCGTTAATGAATGCTGAAAAAACCCGGGACCTTGCATAGACTATTTGGGGGTTTACACAGGCTGGAGCATCTTGTGACACACTGCAGACCACCAGGAATAAAATGTTCTTGCTCCCTGGTCCACAGACGAAGCAGGAGACCAAATGCCTAATAGGCCTATTTGGCTTCTGGAGAAATCATTTGAACTGTTTAAGAGCACTATTGGGACTATCCATTTAAACAATCTGGACAAAGTCATATGTGATCGGAAACCCGAACAAGAACAAGCTTTGGAGCTGTGGAGGCTGGAGCCCAGGCTCTTTCACGTGGATCATGTGTTACAGTCATGTATGGCGGTGTGGCACCTTGAATGCATCTGCTGAAGACCTAACTCCTCATGGGATGGCATTTGGAGGTGGGAAAGTATTTAGGTTTAGAGGTCATGGGGGCGGGGGCATGATGGGATTAGTGTCCTTACAAGGGAGAAGGAGACAGGATAGCTCTCTCTCCTCCCCCACGTAAGAATCCAGCAAGAAGGCCGTCGCCTGCAAGCCAGGCAGAGAGGTCCCATCAGAACCTGACTATGCTGGCACCCTGATTTCAGACTTTCAAGCTTCCAGAATCATGAGAAGTAAATGTTGTTTAAGCCATCCATCTATGGTCTTTTATCATGGCAGCCTGAGTTGACTAATACAGGATCTAATGCTGAAACAGTATTCTAAATGTCAGCCATCCGCCTTCATGCAGACTCAAGTCTTTGGCAAAAGCCAACAATTGTGGTCAATAGTGACCTCTGCATTTTTGGACTAGAAAATTATCTGATACTGCTCTCTCGTGTTTGTCTTTGAAGGACAGTTACTAGCTAGTATAGGCCATTTATTAAGACTTCTTTAACTGAAGGACGTAGAATTATATCAACTGCTGAAATACTCCTTGTTTCATGGGTAACATCAAAAACCTTTCTGACAAGGAAGGAGATGTTGAGAAGTTCCATCATAATGGAAATAACCGTACGGACGCATCCTGCCATGGTACACAGTGGGACTCCATGTATCCGTGAGCAAGCAGCCTATTTTCCACTGGACCCTCATAAAGCCACCTGAGCACGTGCCTACTGCGGTTATGGATGGGCCTCGAATTTTCACTAATTTCCCAAGGATGTAAGGGAACTGGCCTGGTTCACAGGTGGCAGTTCCAGAATGGAGTGCCACAGGGAAAGCAGCTGCCCGGTGTCTAGCAGATGGTAAGCTCCTTGCAGAAGAAGGCAAAAGCAGGTCAGCAGCCTGTGGGCTGAGTCAGAGGCCCCCTTTCTGGCAGTGAAAACTGGACACAGAATCTCCACCAGCCAGTGCATGTTGACTCTTGGACTGGTGCTTCTGGGCTCGCAATTTGGCCTGGCAGGTGGGCCGTAGAGAACTGGACATTAAAGGTACCCTGTGTCAGGTACCGCTTTTGGGGATGACTGTAGCCATTCTGAGCGTGTATCAAAGTGGAACATTCTCTTGCTCAGCAAAGAACCCCTCTAGTTTCTGAAGGTGGCTGCAATCATGCTGATGCCCTAGTTCTGTCTCTCAAGGTGGCAAAGTGGGTCCATGACGGGAGTGGACGTGCTGGTATTCAGGCCATGCAGTGGTGGACTGAACGGTGACATGCCACTAGGCTCTGCCGAAGCTCACGTTGCTAATAAAGTGATGCTGCTTGCCAACAGGAAAGGCAACATTTGCAACTGTCTTTTGGGAGAAGGTCCTGCACATAGCAGGCAAGCAGACCATGCTGGCTCTTCTCCTGTTTCTCCAGGAGGTCTTGGATGGCGTGTACAGGCGTGCTGCATAATCTTGATTTGGCTTTTTATACCTGTAACTGAAGCCAGTGCTGCTAATACTACCTGAGGACTGAACAATGGCAGAAACAAAAGTATGGGGCCGGTTTGGTCCCCCTAGTTGCATTCCTTAGATCAAAGTAAAGCTTTAAACCCGCGCACCAAGAATATGTTGCAGCTGTGCTACCAAATTATCTAAGGAGCAGCTGGCATGACCTGGAGAAGGCAGATCATCCTAGTCTGTTTCTTGCCTTGAGCAGCCTCATCCATTTACATCAATGCACCCTGCAAATTTATCATTTTCTGTGGGTGTGATCATGCTCAAAGGGTTGGGAAATACCAGGATACATAATTGAGATTAATAACTTATAGCAGACGTTATTGCCAAGGTAAAACAAAATAGGAAAATTTCCTTTAATATCAGTAACTAGGTAAGAAGTTTATTACTACACCTATTAAATATTGCATTTAAAGTTCTGGCTTGTGTAGTAAAATAAAGAAGAAAAAGGGATGGCATGAGGATGGGAAGTAAAGGAAACTGTCATTAATTATAGATAAGACTGTATTTTGAAAAAGTTAAAAAACTCATGCAAATTATTAGCACTAACAAAGTTTACCAGAGTGGGTAGGTATAAGATTACTATGCAAAAATTAACTGTATTTCTTTAAAATGATGAAAAGAAAACATACATTTAAAAAACATTAATATTATTAAAAAATGTTGCCGTGTGTGACAGCCATATGGATTATAAACATTATTTAAATAAGCTAAAAAGACACCAATAAACTCAACATCACACAGTTATCTGTTATCTATAGATTATCTATAGACTCAAGGACATGTCATTGAAAATCTTGTTTTTTTAAGGACTTTGACATGCTGATTTAAACGTTGTATAGAAGAGCCAACATCCAAGTCTAGCCAAGACATTCATACAGAAAAAGAGTAAGGTGAAAAAACTTATTCTTCTGGACATCAGCACTTAAAGCCATAGAAATGAGGATGATTTGGTGCTGGCCCAGAGACAGACAAAGCGACCAATGGACTAGAGAGGCAGCTCAGAGACATGCATGAAAGATCACATGGGAGCCAAGAACGGATTGAACTGAGACCATATCCGTAAAGACAAAACAATTGATTTGGATCCAAATCTTACACCATTGACAAAAATGAATTCTAGTAAGAAAGAAGACAAATGAACAAGCAAGATATTAATTTCTTTAGAAGAAATGTGTGAGAATACCTTTGATATTGTGGTGAAGAAAAGAATTTCTAAAACACATGAATTGCTAGTCAGAAGGAAAAGACTGATACATTTGTTGAAAGGACACCGTCGAGATAGTAAAGTGAAAAACAACCAACAGAGCTGGAACTGTTATGTGCAACATATATAATTAAAAAAGGATTAGTTAATAAAAAAAATCAAGGAAAAATTGATTAAGAAAAAATGAAAAATGCATAACATAACAATAGCAAAATATATAACAACCGTTTTACAGAAGAGGAGATATTAAACAATATGCAAAGATGCTCCATGCCATTAAAATATGTAATTCAAAGTGAGACCTCATTTACATACTATTTGATTTTTCATTTTGTATGTGGTTGAGGAACACCAGCAGTTCTCATACTGTTGATGTGCGTAAAATTTATAAGACTACAGTCCACCTAAGTTTCTCTTAGATGTTTTAATATTACATATAAAATGTAAGATTTCATCTAAATAAATTCCTTGATTATGTATTTCAGATGAGATGTAAGGCTGTCATTATTACAGGTCAGATTCTGTTACCCATTACAAATACAAAACTACAAAAATGTCAATGCTTTATTTCCTTTCTTTAGAAATATCTATGTTTATTTCTAAATCTCCCTAGGGTCGAAAGGTGCCAACCCAATTATAGAAGGCAATTAATATTCCAGTTAATTAGATTATTCTGGAGAGTTAGACCAAGAGGATAACTTAAATTCTTGTCTGTAACCTTGAAGAAACACTTTGAACCTTATTTTTAGTTATTATGCCAATTTTTTCATGATTTCAACAGAGGAGCGATTCACTCACTTGGTAATTCCGTCTGCTCACAGAAGTCTGCCGCTGCACCAAGGACAAGCAGGTTAGAACATTTAGATCTGTAAATACCTTTTCCTCTGAGCTTTAAGCACTTGTAAACATAATGCAATCTTGCATTTTTTTTACGCTTACAGCACCTGTTCTTCCTAGGTGGTCTCCCATCCAAATAGTAACCAGGCCCGACCCTGCTTAGCTTCTGAGATCAGATGAGATCGTGCTTGTTCAGGGTAGCATGGCCATAGACCATATGCTTAAAAGTATGCAAACCTTTCTGTTTTCAATGATAGCACTCATATGTCTCCATCAGCCTGGATTCCACACTTATGAGGCCATTCCCCTGAGTCATAAAATGTCATTTAGATTATATATTTAATATTTACTAGAGGCTGTATCATTCATCAATATGATAAATGTGTCAACAATACCAGAAGGACTGAGTAATAAGATCCAATAGGAATATATTCTGAACTCTTGACCTTCTTCGGCATATTTAAGTATTTATCTTTTTGTATATCGTGGAGTCAGGACTTTAGTAGATTTACTGTATTTTAATTAACCACAATCGTTATTCCATTTTAGAGGATGCCCATATCACAATCAAACCTCTAGAATTTGGTTCCTGTGTCCTTTTGACCTGATTTCGCTAACCCTTGAATAGAACCTTGGCTTCTGATAAAGAAGCCCTGTTTTCTCTTTTACCTTCCTTCTCCACATGGAATCAGTTATCCCTCCAAAACACACTGATTCCTTTTCATAGAAAATTGCTTATAAAAACTATAATCTGGGCTTCACGCTTACATTATTAGTCTGAGGTGCCATCATTTCTAGGTCATGTTAGTAGACAGGGAGGTACAATTAATTTTATTAATCGTTACATGTGTGTTATGTATATGGGAGTGCCTGCTCATTGTATAATCTGCTACACATTAATGTTAATTCGGGTATATATCATTTGTTAAATTCATTTGGAGGGAAGCTCTTCAAAGAGACAACTGCGCTTAAGACTGAAATCTCTGAATGCCATTTCCCTTTTAATAAAAGTTCAGAAAATTATACAAATCAGTGTAGTCCGAGCTCTTTTTGAAGGAAATTCTTTTATATAAAACTGTGATTATATCTCATATCAAAGGAGAATAGTTTACAGCTTTCCAGATTTAACTTTTATAGTCTATTCAATATGTCTTGTTCTTTTCCAAATAGAAATAATTTCTCAGTTTTCTGAGTTTAGTATTCCAGGATGCTCTGAGGAACTTTCTCCATTTTGATGTATGTTCAAGTACTCAAACGTTCTAGTTCAGAGTGGCAGTTAATTTCAGTAACATTCTGTTTCAGGGAAGGAATCTTGAACTTCTTTCATGTGGGCCAGAGTCTGGAGTACAAGGCTTTTACAAGTACCCTCTGTAATGTAAGTATTTCTAGTATTTGTAGGGAAGACCCCACTCAGGTTTCATGAAATAATTATACCTTGAGGTCTTATTCCCCTGAGTGGGCATTTGGCCTTTCTTGAGGGCTTTTCGTAGGAATGTCTCCTGGTTATCTTTCTTTCGTAACTCTCACCTGACCACAGATGACATGATTTCATCTACTCAGGGTTGAAGTTTTCCAGTTTTGTCTTAAATGTTTCAGGATGTCATGGCTCACAGAACCATGGACAGTTTCAGGGAGGAAGAAATTTTTCTGTGCCCTTCTAGTTTCTTCTGGCTGGTTGAATAATTAAATAACAGAAGATGTTAATGGGATGTACATATGGGATGTAATATGTACATATGGGAACCTGTAATATGTACATTAGGCAGAAAGTTAAGTTCTAAATGGCATTCTGAGCTAAAGACGAGAGAAGGCACCTCGGGGCTTCAGAGTCGGGGGAGAGGTTGTTGGCAGGATGATAAGAAGAACAGATGTTCAGTAGTTAGATGTTTGCCCTGCCCTGCAGATAGCTTATAAAAAGTTATTTCTGGTGACAACTTTTCTTATGGGCCAGGCCCCCACTTTAAATTCTTTAAGGGGAGAGGTACAAGTTTCTCATGAGCCTGCAGGATCTCGATTGCTTTCAGCTCAAAATAATCTGTATACCAGTGTAGCACATCTTAGGGAGTCCTGTTCTGAACCCCTTCAATAGAAGACTGGAACTTCAAGTCATTCTCACCATGCCAGCTATAAACTAAGACCAGGGACCATGACAGGTTAACAAGAGTGGAAGGACCTTGGACTGAGAAGCTCCCACAGGGTGACCTAGCCTAGGGACATCCAATTTATAAGAACAGCGTAGAGACGTGAGAGCTGGGGAAGGTTTTGTAGAGGCTAAACAGACTTAGTTTATGATCCTAATGTGAACTCACAAGTCTTTCTGAACTGAAGCAGCCCAGAACTGGAGCCAGAGCCAGCCAGGACAGTGAAGGGGAGATAATGAGATGGGTCTGACAGTAAGACACCAAGGACAGACCTCTCGCATATTCTGTCCTTGTCCTGGAAGATAAGACCCCAGACTCAGAACTGAAAATGTGTTGTTCATTAAGAAACACATGAGAAACTCATAAAGGAAAGGGGAGGGATACACATCACATGTTGCTTACTTAATACATCAAAATTACTAACCTGGTAAGTCCCCTTGAGAATCACAGTACCTGTGGTCAACACTGGAGCAGACAGAAGAGAGGACATTGCGATTACGACCAAGGGAGAGACAGGCTGAACTTCGAGTCATAAGTTAGGACTTGAAGGTCTGAGAAAGAGGCCCCGAAAATATAGATTTCAATGGGGCTGTAATGCTTTCCTAAGGAAATATCAAGGATCTGTCATTTTTTTGAGACTATCTGGTTCAAACTACTGGCGGCTTAGGGTCCAAGTTCTCCATAGTTTGGCTTTGCCAAATAAACCCTTCCACTCTTGAAGCAAAGTAAATTTGCATTTGTTGTGGCACATGGCATGCCAGGCACATCACACGTGTTGGCATATAACGCATTTTTAACAACTTCAACTGTTAACTGTTACAGATGAGTAAACTGAGATTCAGGAAATAAACTATACTGATTATTTGCCTTAGGCACATAACACATGTTGGTATAGAAAGCATTTTTAACAACTTCAACTGTTACGAATCGATAACTGTTACAGATGAGTAAACCGAGATTCAGGAAATAAACTATACTGATTATTTGCCTGAAATGAGAACTTACTTAAGTGACCTTCCAACTAATCTCTATAAGTTCAATTGTTAAAAAGGAAATTGATATTTGACTGCACGTGTTTACTCCATATTGTGATGATATTTTCCTCTTGTTTCTATCTACCTAGAAGGTCCGTTAGGTTTGAATTTTTTTTTTTTTGTTATTTACCTGCTGGAACCATATGTTTGAGAATCAAAGAGCTAGGTCTGAGCAGCCGACCAATTTGACCCAAGTTCTGTCTGCCTTTCCCAGGAGAGGTTCCAGATCCACATGCAAATAGAGAAATAACAAAGTCCATGCTTTATTTATAGAGATTTATTACGGACAAAGCCTCGCTCTCTGAGACAAGATTTTGAAAGCGTCTAGAGTATCTTTGCAGAGAAACCCACAAAGACGCTTAAAAAGTCCGAAAGCCCTTTGCAGTGGTTGCTATGGCAGCGAAAGGAGACCTGTCCTCTGGGAAAGGCAGGAAAGAACAGTCACCTGCCCCCAGGGTAGGTGCTTTCAGGGCTCATTAGGAGGCCCAGGGCTCTGCAAAGTTGACACTAGGGACATGTCTGTGTGTCGGTGCGTTCATTACATCAGAGGTGTGGAGATGTGTCAGGACAGCGGGGTCTTTAAAGTCCAAACCACATTTTCCAGTCAGCGCGGTTCAGTAAGTTTTGAATGCCACGGGTTTGACAATAGCAAGAGATTACTCTCATTACCTGGCTTAGGGGGAAATGTTATGCATCCCGTATATTTGAACCACAAATGGGAATCCATAAATGCCAAGGATTTTATGTGTGTCACAATTTTAAGTCGATTTTAGATTTAACGCAAAGCCTCCTAATTCAGGATTCTGAAAGTGAGTTCCTCACATTTATTTCCTCTCAGGCTTTGATAAATGTCCACATTTTTAGATATTTTTTCAGCCTAGATCGTAACCATTTAAGTGCATTTCTGGAAAAAACAAAACAAAACAAAACACTTGATCATTCATTACCATCCTCTAGACATTGTCCATCTATTTTCCACAGCTTGGCAGAGCAAAGACAGAGTGTGCGAAAGGCACAAGCGCTTAGTCGATTCTCCTTCTCCTCAACCTGTTGATACTTTCTAGAATTTAGAACCGAGTTCTTATGGATATTATTTTGAATTTCTATGGGATTTGGTGTTTTCGACCACACAACACTTTATGATGACATGTGACTATCCTTTCCATATCTCTTGGAGCAACTCATGTCAGTATTTACTTCACGAAAGTTTACAAAGGACTCCTTTGTGGAAAAAAACGTCTGACGCTTTATATTATTGACATATTTTTATTATAACGGCGTATTTAAAAGGACATTTGCTTGGGCATATATTTTTATATCTGAAATTCTTTCCTTAAATACTTAAAAAGCATACTACTCCTCGTTCCCTTGCAGGCATTTTTGAAGTGCTGTCTCATCCTTCTGATCCTTATTTCTTTGCAGGTGATCTGCTCTAACTCACTATAAGCTTTATAAATTTGTAACTTAGGTTAATAATACATGTTATTATAATCTCTAACTCACTGTAAGCTTTATAAATTTGTAACCTAGGTTAATAATATATGTTAATAATATATGTTATCATAGAGAGATTATAATAGATAACTATGTATTATATATAGATGGTAATATTATAATACGTAAATTTTATAATCTATGTCTTTGATGTTCTTAAATTTACTTTAGCATTTTCAGGTATGCTTTTTTTGTGTGTATCCTATTTGGCATTAAGGTCTGGTAAGGAAACTCAAGTACACACACGCCCTGGTTTTCTGAACTACTCATACTTCTTACTAGGTGTCTTCACCAAGCTGCAGATTGTCATATGTCTGGAACAGTCCAATAAGAGATACCTTTTTTTGAAAAATAAGATGTGAGATTCAGTATAAACTCACCAATTAGAAACACCTAATATTGTAAGATCTGTGTTGCTCACAATAGTTTTAACTAAACATTTTTTATCCGCGAATTATCTACTTATTTATATGAGTATAGTTGGTATACAATATTATATTAGTTTCAAGGGTACAATATAGTGAATTGACATTTATATACCTTATGATGCGATCACCACACTAAGTCTAGTAATCATCTGTCACTGTGCAAAATGATCACATTATCGGGAATGTTCCTTTTGACAATCTCTCCTGAAGATTTTACTCCATCCTTAGCACATTGTGTTAGAGCTCCACTGTGTGGTCGTACGAAGCTGTGCAGGCCGGCTTGTTGGCACTGTTCCTCGTTAATCTTCACTCTTCTTCTCATGAAGTCAGCTCTTCAGTGACCAGATACACTTTTCTCTAACAACACCTTTATGCCAAATACTCTCCCCTTTTCTATGAAACAAATATTTTGTCACTGTATAGTAGAGTTAAACTGGACAAGAATTTTCAGAATTTTAAACACACATGTTTTTGAAATTAGTATTTGTAGTAATGATTCTGAAGGCTGTCCTACGACAAACACTGAGCAAAAGTACAAAGCTCCCAGGGGATGTCATTTTTGAGAAGGCCTGAAATTTAAGGTCATTTAAGATTTGAATCCTAATCACATTCTATGGGTTCCCACATTTTTAATGACGTGTGGATTTTTACTTAATCAAAAGCAGTGATGATAATCTCAAATATTGAGCCCAAGAATAGCATCTGTAAAACTCAAAGGTCTCCTCCCACCTTGAGAGTGAATTAACGTTGACCGATTAGGAGCCAATGTAAGACCTGCATGATTTATACTGTATTTTTCTAGCATTCTGATCAAAATCATCATTTACGTCATTGCACCAGGCCTGCCACTTGACACTATGTCCTCATGCCGCAAGCTAAGCACGTCGTTCTTACGAAATCTTCTTGATGCCTAGTGCTTGTTGTTATATATGTTCTGTTTTCTTCATTTCGTCCTATCTGGATGATTTACATCCTATCTAGTTATTTCCGGAGCACCGAAGACCTCAGTTATACAAAACATGAAGTATTTCGGGTTCGGTTCTGAGGCGGGTTCTGTTTTGGTGATTTAGTGAGGGGTGTGCTCTGGGGAAGTGGGGCAGGTCAGGCTTCTAGCTCAGCAAGAATGAGTGTCATCTGGAGACTAGATTCAGACGGGTCCAGGCGGACGCTCCGGAGCAGTGCTGCTGCCCAGAGCAAATACGTGAAACACACTGCAAGCCATGTCTGTAATTTTAAACCGTCTAGTAGCCACATTTAGAAAGGTAAAAAGAAACAGAT